CGTAGCTGGTGAGGACAAGCCACTCAGCGCTTCTTCGCTGCGGGCACCCGGTGCGATGTGATTCCTCTACTTGACGAGTGTACCCGGATCATCCCATATCACTGCAGCCTCTGACCGGGGAGGTCCTAGTTTCCACGGTGGTAGAATTTTCCACTCTAGCTTCATAGCTAGGTCGAATTCAGCCGCTGTCTGGAGGCGAATTCCAGCGCCCGGCTGCTCGGATCGGAAGTTTTCCGTGGTTTCTCCGATCAACACCAGGCTAATGCCGGAGCAGTACCCTAACAAACGGGCCACGGACCGCGCGCGATCTTCCCTTCCTTTTCCTTGTCCTCTCATTTCCTACTTACTCACACTTACGTGCACTACACTGCCACACATTTCGGGAGACCGGTCGGGTAGTTAGAGCGTGTCTCGGCTGGGGCGGTGACCCGCTGGTGTGAGATAGCCTGTTGGGGTAGAACTCCGCTAGGTGACAGTAGGTCGGCGCCGGATCTCACTATCCAGTGGGGGAAGATCTCCGCCACCTCTCGTGAGAAGATATTCACTACACGTACGGGACTAATGATGTTACCAGTCCATGCGCCCGGAATCGCTAATCGATCGATCGTTCAACTGAGTAAGCCTGAGGGCACCCGGTGCGCCCTCTGCTCGTCGACTGAGCCCGAGGGGAGGCACTGCCGCGTTGCCAATATAGGGGAGTGGCACGCGAGCTCTTTGGCCCTGCTGTAAAGAAACACGAACGTTTGAGTTTTCCTCTGTCATTTTCCGCTGTGCGCCTCCTCTGCACCACATGCTCTCATGGAAGTCTGATTCAATAAGAAAGAGCACCTAACATTTTTTTATACTCTTCAAGGTCGAACGCGGAAGATATCCACATCCCTTCTCGGTGTTCCATATGCGACGGCGTGATGAAGTGCATGATGGGTTCACACAACATTAGCCGTTTTTAAAACTAGAACGATATTTTTGTACATGGTTAGTATCCTCTTTCTTTCTCGTCTTACTATGAAAGTAGTAAAGATAAGGTTTTGTACTAGTGCGGCGGAAGGCCCTGGTAATGAAAAAATGAGGAAATTCCAGAGGCGTGTGGTGAAGGGCTTAGTTTAGGTATGCAATAAAATATATTAATTAGTTTGAAAAAGTTGGCTACACAGATTTTCGAAGTAGTAGTTATAGTAATATGCGACGTTGACCTTGCTGCCTTAATAATGGTTTTCTTATCTTCAAAGTTCCACGAAATAAAACTTCATCAATCAATCACAAATCACGCACGTGTGACCATCTATGCCGATGACTGCAGTATAAAGATGTATATAATGTTATCGCTATTAACCGGGATTTGATTGTCTTGACAAATCAATTATCCGGGGTCTGTTTCGTAATGGGTAGAGGCAGACATTCTGGAGTTTAAGAAAACGTGCGCAGATTGTATTTGTCTCCATACTGCGTCACATACGTTCGTGCTCGTCCGAATGTCACCTTGCAGTGAGGTAGGAACACGGGGAAATTCCTAGAACGCGCCCTGGCGAAACACTAGCGGACGCATTCTTACTGATTACGAACCCTAGGGTATCACTCACGTGGTAGTTTCACTTTCAACAATAAACTCTAATCTTAATTAGCACGTATAAGCATAAACATATACTACATTTAGAATTACGTACTTCAGTGTACATACAGCTACATGCATTTATCATTTAAGTAAGATTTGAGACGAAGGTTTTGAGTTGTGTAGGGTACTGTACATGAAGGCTCACCGAAGAGCTTGTCACGATTGGGACGGATACTTGCTGGGGGAGATACCGGGAGGTGGAAATCCCTCGCGTGTCTTGTAGGTAGGTGCCGAATGTCACCTTGCGGTGAGGTAGGAACACCGCCAACTCCCAGAATAAAACATAGTACGGGAGTGTGGGGCACGGCGTTGGGGCCCGGAAAGCGCGAACGGCGAAGGAAAGGAGGCCCGGCGGCGCGGAGCGGAGCGGGGAAGCGCGAAGCGGGGGGGGGGGCGGGGGCGGGAGCGGGCCGGAGGCGGCTGCGCCCAAGGTTGCGTCGCGGGGCCCATCCATATAAGCCGGTCAGCGGCCACCGCGCGCCCACGCGCCCACGCGCCCACGCGCCCCGCCCCGCGCCGCCCACTCACCCGCCGCGCCGACCCGCGGCGCACTCGCCTTCACTCTCTCCGCGGCGCCGCCCCGGCTCGACTCTCGCTCTCGAGCACCAGCGGCCACCGGTTTCAGTTCCCGGTCAGGCACGATCACACGGTGTGTGCAGGCACGGCGGCTATTGTCATCAATTCCCCAAGTGGAGAACACGATTACCCAGGAGCTGGCGGTGTTCCTCCTCCTGGAGTGTGACTGTCGTCGCCGACGTATTTGGAGGGGAAATCCCACACGTCAAGGGTACCTCTTCCCCAGTGGGGCACCACCACCTGGTGCGGCTCCGCCGCAGCATTCGTCTGGAGTTAATTATAACAAACACGGAAAACTTGCGATGAGTGTTGTTAGTTCTTCAGACAGCGGCTGAATCCCATCTAGCTCTTTAACTAGAGTGGAAATTCCGTCACGTCGAAAATCGAGCCCTAGTACGTCACCGTCGTACGCCAAGTAACATAAATCATCTGAGTTAACATGAATATGTGAGACGACTGGAGAACTGAATTGCAAGCAAGTTCTCTCCGAAATTCTAAAACCCTTTTGTCGTGCAACGTGAAACACAGGAACTTTCCCAAATGTTGTGTCCTGTTAACTGTGTTCGTACAAAAAATAAATTTTGCCGTTGAAACAACTCTTTCTTCCTCACATCAGTAACAGTTACGTAAAATTGTAATTCCCCAATTTCTGTCCACGTTAACACATCTCAGCCATCACTAGTAAACCTCATTACCAGACGTAGCGCAATATGCGCGAAAAGTAATGAATATGCAGCTAATATGTACCAACACACATTCGACAATTCAAAACTTCTTTCCATACACCCAGAAACACTGTTCAACAATGAGAAGTTATTCTGAGAATTTGATACTATTGTGTGGCAGCATTCCTATTGTTGTATTGCAATGGGACAACTCCTGTGAGATTCAAGCAAAATAGAAAAAAATTCCAATTTGCATTGGAAATTTGGTAAAATTACACGAAACTACCCTTTTTAAACCAAAATTGCACACGACGTTTAAAAAAACTGATTTCACTTTCTCGCATACAGCATCCGCAGAATAGAGAAATGCGTATACTGCTGTGGGGAAAACGGCGATACGTCGACAGAGAAACGCTTATTGCCATTCCCTGGCAACGAAAAATTGGACAATTCTTGTTGCTGTAGCAACAAGTAAATTACTTTCTCTAACAAGTGTAGCCAGAATCCAGGTTTTGTGGGTCCTTGATATCGAGAAATCGATTGACGGCAAAAATGATGTCCGACCGTACGCTTCAAAGTTGAGCAAATACTTGAACAAAATATTTCAGATACTAAATATTTTATCCAAAGTATTTTAGATAAAATATACAAAATACTTCCATAAAATCTTTTTTTTTTCTAACATCTGTATCATCTATATGTATTTTGTATCTAAAATCTTTTTAGATACAAAATAGAATATTAAAATACTTTTGAAAATACAAAATGCAAGCAATTGTGATCCATTTTCACAATTTAATTCTTAAAACGTGGTTGTGATTTACACTTGTATTCAAATGAACACGTTGCTCTTCAATACTACTAGTTTTTTACTTTCCCGCTAACGCTTACGCTGTAGGGAGCAAAAATTAATGCTTCGGAGGAAAACGACGAATTTTCGGCAGAAAAAACTCATATTGCGGACCCTGGTTACGAAAAAGTAGATAAATCTAGTTGCTAAATTAAAAAACAAAAGTCCCCTAACACGTCGTGTAGTCCGAATATGTGTTTCGTGTGTCCTTGATACCGAAAAATCGATTTAGGGCAAAACGTCAGTCCGTCCGTCTCTGTAAACAACGCTAGCGGCTTAACCGTGCATCCATTTTTCTCGAAAATTGATATTCTCCAATCGTTCTGGTTTATGCCACCCTTTGAATTTGAACCGGATATTTTAATTTTGGGCGTATTTTATGCGAAGCCCATGGGACATTTTCAAACAAATGGCACCAAACTTTTTGATTAAATTTTGTTGTCGATAGTGTGAAAGACGTTTGAGATAATGGTGCAGAATTCATTTTCGTTGAAAACACTAATTTTGCAAAAATAGCAAAGTTCAATTTCGGCGTCTTCATACAACTAAAATACTGAAGAGAGAGGTTTTTTCCTTGATGAAATGTCATTCTTGAAAATGAAAATTCTCTCAAAATGCTAATCTTGACCTCGTGTTATTTTGTGTTATTGTATGTTTATAGACCTGAATCAGGCCAAAATAATCTCCTCTTAAAAAACTGACTTATTTTGTCTTACCCTCACGATTCTTTAAATGTAAAGTATCGATGAAATGTAGTCATCAGATACACATCTTCAAATAAGGTCACCGCGATTCTGCAGTTGGATTTTCTAAGAATACAGTCTCAATTTTGACATGATAGAGCTATATGAAACGTACTTTCATATTTAATAGTGGAATATGGATAGTGGAATTTAATTTAATAGTGGAATATGTGTTGATATTTGCTTGAAAATAACTAGTTAATAATTAAAAATAATTACCTACTGTTTTAACATTTTCGGCGTCTTTCTCCAACTACGATATTGATGATAAAATCTTAATGTAATCTGTTTATCAAAAATAGATCTTGACCTAAAGTCATGTTAAATTTTTGGAAAATATTAGTAGTTTTGCGTGAAATATAAGACTTGTGAAACAATTCTAAACGAAAATATTCTCAAAAAATGCTCTTTAAAATAATAATAAAGAGAAACAATTACAAAATGTATCTTTTAATTTTAATTACTAAGGCTGTGCGTTTGAAACCCACATAAGACGTGAATGTATTCAGCTGCGTCTGAGGCGTGGGGGGCAGTCCAGACCTTGTAGCAGAACAATGCACACACACCGAGATGAGCCCAAGTATGTAAAGAACAGAGTGTGCGATGTTCGGAGGTTGCGAAGGATTTCTTCACCTCCTGCAAGTGGAGCGATATGTAGTCGGGCCTTTGGCGATATGAACCGCCATTTATAACAAGACTTTGGACGACGAATAGAATAGGAAAGCAACTAATACGAGAAGGTCTGTGTCGTACGATGAGGAAGTTATGAAATGCTGCGGGGAAAAAGCGACGATTTTTGGGCAGAAAAACTATTACCGGACCCTGCTTACGAAATAGTGGATAAATCCAGTTGCTAAATTGAGGGAAATAAATCATCTAACACATGGTGTAGCTAGAATCCATGTTTTGCAGATTCGTGATATCGAAAAATCGAATGACGGCTAAATGTCTGTCTGGCCGTCCCTCTGTGAACCATACTAGCGGCTAAATCGTTCAGCCTATATTCTCCAAAATTGATATTCCCCAATTGATCTGGCTGATGACGCGGCCATGATCTGGCTTGAATTTTAAACATATTTTTTTAACTACTTTATATGAAGTCCCTCGGACATTCTGAAACTTTTCAAAGAAATACCTCCATTCTTTTGATTAAATTTTGTTGTTCGATATTATGAAGGACTTACAAAAGCGGTGTAGGTCTAATGTTCAAAATTCTCATTTTTGAAATTTGCAAATATTAAGAAAAGTCGGCGTCTCCCTACAACTACAACGACAAGATAAAGATTTTTTTTTTAAATGAAATGTGTTCATCGAAAATAGATCTAAATATAATGTCAGGTTCAATTTTTCAAAAATATTAGTATTTGTGCGTAGCTTGAATTGAAATTCTGAAAAGCTACCACTTCTTATGGATGACCCCTCCCCCTCATTTTACGCGCCAGAAGCGTTCTGTTGCTCCACACCTTCCCTCTGTCATCACCGTAGGAGGATCCTCGGAGTCGCGTGAAATCCCTGGCGTAGAAAGTACTTTGAGTCATCCTCTCGCTGAGTCCTCTACGCTTGTGCGTAAGCTAGTCGAATCATTTTAGAAAGCTCTTGTCATTTAATTCAACGACGATACGAGGGTTGTGCTGATTTCCCTTCGATTGCTTTAAATAGTGGCATGCATTTGATTCATTTTCATTTAGTTGAAATATTGCTTTGATTAAAGGATTGATTAATTATAAATACAGTATGTTTTATTTATTTATTCATTTATCGCACATTGAAAATTACAACCCCTCCTTAAGTAATTGGAAATGCTACGTCTTTCGAAAAGAGACTGTGGGTCACGCCGAGGGACGAGAGGACCCGCCCAGCCTAGCTCAGGCCATCAACTGTCACTGCAGTACCTCTGTCTGGGAGGTCCGAGAATTCGAGTCCCACGGTGACAGGATTTTCGACACTAGCTACGCAGCTGACGGAGTTTCTTTCCGTGAAAACATTTGGAGCGGCGGTTTTTGAAAATTCTTTTTTAATAAATTGCATAATTTCAATTCTAAAAAACGCGAAAAATACATTTTTTTCTAAAAAAAACTTATGATTTCTTCAAAGACCTGGTTTTTTTTCGAACGGCCTTTGTCTAAGGAAAAAATCTGTACTTCAATTTTGCAATTTTCGAAAAGACAGAGTTTGCCGCGAACGGTACTGGCAACATATTTTTTACCATCCCAGAATTTTAGACACGAGGAGAAAATAAAAAAAAATATAGTGCTGTATAAAACTATAAAAGTTCCTTGTATTTCGCGCAAAATTATAGGAAAACAACTTGTATTTTGGAAAAATTTTACATCACCTTATCTTAAGATCTGTCTTCCAAGAACAGATTTCATTAGGGGAAAAATATCTAATCTTTAATATTATAACTGCAAGAAGACGGTCTAAAAAATTCCACTTGCAATTTTCGAAAAATCTGGGATTACAACAAACATTAATCTAGCACCATTCTCTTAAGAATCATTTACGCCACCGAGCACAAAAATTAATAAAAAAATTAGTGCAATCTTAAAGAACATTCTGAAAATACTTTCGAGGCTTCATGAGAAGTAGCTTCAAAAAATCAAAATATCCAGTTGAAACTCCCAAAGCTTAAGAGTTCGTTCAGATCGATCAGGAAATATCAATTTTGGAGAAAATCTACTGAACAGGTTAGATGTTAGCGTTGATCACGGACGGTTTGTCATCAATCGATTTTTCGGTATCAACAACCTACAAAACATGTATTCTGGCTACACCACGTGTTAGTAATTTACGAACTATTGGAACATGATTTATCCACTTTTACGTTACCAGGTCCCGGCAATAAGTGTTTCTTCCAAAAATTCGCCGTTGTCCGGTGCACGATTACATAAGTTTCTCTTTCTTGCAAAGTAAGGACGAGAAATTAAAATCAGTGGAAGGCACAAAGCAAATGCATGGTTTCAATTCGTTATGAAACAGTCACTAAAGTATATCCTCTGAGAAGTGAAGTAAAAGAAATATCAATTAATTAACTTTGTTACATACTCTTATTCGGGTAAATATTCCATCCTTTTAATACGAAATTGAATACTTTGATGAATTTAAATTTAACATGCAATCAAGGTCGTAATTATACATCTAGCTCGTAGTGAACTGTGAAGGGATATTTCTACAAGAATTTATTGCTCTGTGAAAGTATAACGACGACAATGTTCCACCGATGATTGGCGCGTGCTCGGGGGTGACGCTCTAGCAGACCCAGCAACAGCAAAAACAGGAAGTAAGCAGTTCTATTGTACAGTACCGAAGTTGGACAGTCACCACTGGTGACCCTTAAATTGGTCAATCACAGAGTAGGGGTTAGAATAACGTAAATGCAATGTTAATGAATGATTCATTTCAATAGATTATATTCTTAATATCATTACAATGTTAATTATACATTATTATTATTATTATTATTATTATTATTATTATTATTAGTGTTATTATATTATTAAACAAAACTTTTTTGGTTATTTTAGGTCGCATCAACTTCTAGGTCATTAGCGACCACGTGTAACGGTATGGTAACTGTCAGGATGACACGATATGATGATAGGGGGTGAAAGGACGAACACAGTACAACTATGCCCGAGGCGGGACTCGGACCCGCGATCCTTTGGTCCGAGATCACTACGGCACTACTGCCTTCATGATCTCGGTCATCCGGACAGGCAATAAATATTTTGACTGGCTGCTTTTGGGAAAACTAGCTCGATTTAGGGGCTCTGGAAATACCCGGGGCTACGCCAGGGCCAGTTCCTCCCCTCATCCCTTCTCTTACACCTTCAGCCATCCCTTCTCTTCCACCGTCCCCTTCATCGCTGCGGCCGCCTCACCGCGCAGCGCTGGAATTGCAACGGGGTCATTTCTGTGCCATTCGAAGAGCATTTGCAGTGTTCCCGGGAATAAGATGAAAGAGTTCGTTCTGAAAATCCTGCAAACGAATCCAGCTCGTTTTTTTCATTTGTCGAAAAATTCTCTTTCTTTTAGAAACGTTAATCTTTCCCCGAACGCGTCCGGTAGTTAATAGTTCGTAAACAAGACGTAGAATCATTTGCCTGCAAGGGAGAGAGAAATAGGAGACAAGCACGAAACGCTGGACTGACGGTGGCGGTATCCCCCTTCTCTCTACAGCAATGACCTTGAATTCCGCGTGCCCCAGTGGCCAGCCGTGAGAAAATACCTCTTTCCCAGCGCTCCCTAGCACTCGGAATACAACCCGTGAGCATGTTGTGAAAAGAGAAAGAGTCGGGACGTGTTGGAATAAATTATACAATATAAATTTTATGTATTTCTTCAATTTTTCTTTAGATTTTGAAAGGATCTCAAAAGAACCAAAAAAAGACATCTGCAGTTTATTGACATGTTAAAATATTAGTTTTCCTTGCATTTTAATTATTTAATTTTAAAAAATAAATTCAAAAAAATCTACAAAATGGATTTAAAAAAAATAGTGTCGTTTTGTACCTTTGTACCTAAGAAAGATCCATGTGGATTTGAATAAAACACGTGGCTCTACCTGCAATAAATATTAAAATATAATCAATTATAAGATTAGAAACTTTATGAATTTACAATTTCAAATATTATAACATTGGGTAAATATGTCCTTAGTACGTTTACATTTCAAGTTTTCTTAAAAAGCGAAATAGAAAATATGTTATATCAACTTCAAATCAGAATAATTTCAAAACATTAAACAATTCAGCGATTTTTTGATATGTAAAAGTACGATCCTTCACCTTTAATTTCCCAAAATTTCAGGAAAATCGAAGATAACGTATTTTGGGAATGATTTTTTGAAGAAAAACTATATTTTTGACCTTTGGCTTCCTATGACCATGCCCAAAATTACTAGAAATGATTGATATGAAAAGTTTATTTGCCTATACATTCGAAATTATCAAAATATTTATTATTTGTATTAATTTTACAAGTTTATGAAGTAGGGCAAAAACAACTAAACCCAGTGTCATGCGACATATAAATGAAAATATAATGAACTAAAACAAATTAGTGCATTTTTACTTATTTTTAGATGAAACTGAAAAAGAACAAGCGTTTTCAGGTAATTTGGAGAGTGTCTATAAAATTTCGGCCGATTTTACTTGAAAAGACCCATGAAATAATATTTGTTATTGGTAGTATATTATAACATCACAAATATGTGAATTTTTGCAAAAATTTGGAGAAATGAAAAAAATGTGTTTTTGAAAAGCTGAGCTCGATTGGTAATTGGTTTCGAAAAAAGGTTTTACTCTGAAGCTATATGAAATTTTACTCTCTTTAATATTGATTTGAATATTTTTTCTATAGAACTTTTTCTACAGAAGGTTTATATAGAAACAGGACCGAAAAAAAGTCGAAAAAAATGTGTTTTTCAGTTCTCCCGGATTCGTGTCTGGGAGGTGGAAAACTCAGGATTTTAACTGGTGCCTTGGTTCATATTACGTACCCAAATGATAAAGTTTTTATGGCCTTATGCAAGTCAAATGTTCTTGCTGACTGGACCAATAGCCTAGGCAAGAAAATTTA